ATGGCAAAAGCACACTGACCTCTTCAAGTAAGGTAGAGAGTATCATTTAGTTTCATAAACAGCCTGTGAGACAATGACAGCTAAAGAATTGTAGGTCGTTTTATAAAGCTCCACCAGCTTTGGGCCTTTCAAGCTGGCAGAGTTCCACGTAAGTAAATGCTGGTTGTAAAAAGATTGCAGCAAAGTAGGCTATATGTCATGGCCTGCATTTTTAAATTGGTGATAAAATGTGGGCTGCAGTGTATGCAGCAAGGTGAAGTGCGAAGGGGGGGGGGCAATATCTGCTCTGTTATAAATGGCCCCCATAGTGTTGGGGGTATTGGAACAATATTATTATACAGTATTTATATAGCGCCAGAAGTTTTGCTCAGCACTGTACATTATAGTGGGGGACAGAACATGAGACAATACAGTAACAAAACAATACATGAGGGGTTCGATATAGTTGAGAAATGCTTCTATAGAGCAGGCAGTAGCTATCTGAATGATGAATTGGCGCAGTTGGTTGGTTGCCCTTTGGGTAATACAGTGTCAGCTGTGTCTGTGGCTAGTCTAAAAGGAAAATCCACCACTCAGAGTTTGGGCATTAAGTTATAATACTGCTCTTCGATATTAGATGATCTCCCAAGCTGACTGTTTTCAGTCAGATTTATTTTTATTATTATTATACAGTATTTATATAGCGCCAAAGGGTTTGCTCAGCGCTGTACAATAGCAAGGGGGACAGAACATGAGACAAGACAGAAACAATACAATACACGAGGGGTTCAAGGGCCCTGCTCTTTCGAGCTTACAATCTAGGAGGGAGGGAAAAGTGGTACAGGAGGAAGTGGCTGTGGGGGAATGAAGTGGTGGGAGGAGTGGAGGAGGTCAGCTGTTAGGTGAGGGTGGGGTAGGCTTCCCTGAAGAGGTGGGTCTTCAGGGTGCGCCTGAAAGTGATGTGGGTAGGTGACAGTATGATGGATTGGGGTAGGGAATTCCAGAGGATGGGGGAAGTCCTGGAGAAATCCTGCAATTGGGCATGGGAGGAGGAGACCAGGGAGCTAGAGAGTAGGAGGTCCTGTGAGGAGCGAATGGCACGGGTAGGGTAGTATTTGGGTATCAGGTCGGTTATGTAGTTTGGGGTGGTGTTGTGAATGGCTTTGTAGGTCAGGGTTAGCAGTTTGAATTTGATGCGTTAATGGGAGCCAATGAAGGGATTGGCAGAGGGGGGTGGCAGATGTGGAGCGGTTGGTGAGGTGGATGAGTCTCGCCGCTGAGTTCAGATCGACTGGAGTGGGGATAGCGTTTGTTTGGGTAGGCCAGTGAGAAGGGAGTTGCAGTAGTCCAGGCGTGAGATGATGAGGGAGTGTACGAGTTGTTTAGTAGTGTCTGGGGTGAGGAATGTACGTATCTTGGAGATGTTGCGGAGGTGGAGCCTGCATGATCTTGATAGCAATTGGACGTGAGGTAGGAAGGAGAGGTGTGGGTCCAGGGTGACACCCAGGACTTTGGCATGTGGGGTGGGGGTGATGGTGGCGTTGTTAGTAGTGATGGAGAGGATGGGGGGGGAGGTGGGGAGACCAGTAGCTCTGTTTTGGACAGGTTAAGTTTGAGGAAATGGAGCGACATCCAGTCTGTCGTTCAGGAGGTGGGCGGAGAGTGAGGGGGTGAGCTGGGGGGTGGAGAGGTAAATTTGTGTGTCGTTGGCATAGAGGTGGTAATTGAAGCCGTGGGAGTGTATTAGTTTGCCAAGGGAGGAGGTGTAGATGGAGAAGAGGAGGGGTCCGAGGACAGAGCCTTGGGGGACTCCAACAGAGAGGGGGAGGGAGGGGGAGGTGGCAGTGTTGTAGGTGACGCTGAAGGAGCATTGGGAAAGGTAGGAGGAGAAACAGGAGAGAGCAGCGTCCCTGATGCCAAGGGAGTGCAGTTTAGTAAGGAGGAGAGGGTGGTCGACAGTGTCGAAGGCCGCGGAGAGGTCAAGGAGCAGGAGGACAGAATAGTGGCCGTTAGCTATCTGATGTCTATAAGCTACCCAGTCGCTGCCATTTGAGGCTTGTAGTTCTGGTTGACACTGTTGAAAAACAAAAAAAATCTTGTCCATTAGGTATTAAGCCAGTCATATATAGATCAAAATGCATCTGGTTCAGCAGGGACTAGCCAAATTTTGATACATATATGAGCAGGCTGGTTGTGCACAAGGTGATCGATCAATCGACTTGTGTACAACCACCCTGTCAGGTTTTTTCTGAATAAGTGCCACTGACCATAGCCGACAACACTGATCATTGTATTCTGATGGCAGAGAAGGCTCCCTGCTGGCAGAATACTATACCACAGCGGGGAGGACTCCCCCATTCACCTTGAATGTGTGGAAGGGAAAATCTGCTCTTTTTTTCGTTCAACCAACCGGTTGAACGAAAAAAAAAAAATCTTGTATGGCCAGCTTTGCTTTCTTCTAATTTGCTGCCACTAGAGGCATTTCTGGTATGCCATACTCAGCTTGTTTCATATGCAAATGGTTTTCCAATTTTTGTATAGATATCCACTAAATACTCATGCCTAATGGCAATCAGACTGTCCTTGAAAATCTGAATATCCTCTAGTCCAGTGTTCTCAACCTTTCCTTTTTTTTTTTTTTTTTTTTTAATTTTTGGGTCTGGGCACCCTCTAAAATTCTGCACAATCTCTAGACTCCCCATTCTAAAATGTAAAAAACTAAAAATTTTACATAACCTAGCAACATCCACACATGTAGGACACCCAACATTACAGGCGATTTATTCTTCCAAAGCAAATAGACCTTTGCACACTGGTTCTGAATAGTATTCAAGTGTTGTCTTCTGCCTGTCTCTCTCCCTCTCTCAGCTAATGTGACCTCAGTGCTGATGGAGAGGGGCAGGGAAGGGGCAAACAAGATGCTTTGTAGGTGTCCAATGTCCTCCTTATCAGTCAGTGACATCGATGGATGTTTTGACGCTGGTGACTGGAAGCTTGTAATATTGCATAATGAAAACCTGTGTCTTTGTGTATAGTAAAAGGCAGGCTTCATCCACTTTCTGACTTGTACACAATTTTTGGGCAATTTGTAGACCTTTTCCCAAGGCACCCTAGTTGAAAAAGGCTGCTCTAGTCCTTTACAGTTTAAGTCACCCATATAGGTTAACCTTGACAGTAAAATAAAGTACAAGTGTTTGTAGTTCAGTGTTCTCTGAACAGAAAAGTCACACTAGGGGTAAGAAAATCTCTTCTTCAGCAGCACATTGATACTGAAATTAGATTGTGCAATACGGGTAAAATGCTGGCTTGGTGGTATCATGGGAGACAAATCTAGTTCAGCTCTTATTGGTTTGTCCAAGGTTACATGAGACTTTCTGCCTGCTGCTACAAAGAAACACATACTGCCTTGTGATCCTTCTGCGAGAAGCATATTACACTGCATATGCATTTCATTAGCTTTTTGTTTAGCATTTCATTTTTTTTTTAATCTGCATCAAGATTTTATGATGTTATAAGTAACTCTAGCTGTGGAATATGTCATTAAAGGATAGCTGGATTATAAATGTTCGTTTTACCACCAATCTCCCAGGTGGGCTCTGCATGTGTGGAAGAATCTCCATTCACACATTTATAACGCTGGTACGGATATGAAGCTTTCACTGGAATGGATGTTTGGAAGAGTCTGGTCAGTGAACCACAAGTATACTTAGGACTTTGCTGTATGGAGGTCATTGCTGGCCCTTTCAGTCTGAAAATACTAGTTCCCAGACTGTCATGGTAATGTGGGGGCTACAATACTTTCAGATTGGTATGTTGTGGTTGTGTGCGTGCTGCAATGCAACATCATTCATTGTGAATTCTCTCAGTGGCAGGCAAAGGCACCTGCGAACTGTGATTAAAAAAGTTCACATGCAGTTTTGTTTGTTTGCTGGTTTTTTTTTTTTTTTGGGGGGGGGGGGGGGTGGCTGTTTAAAGCAGTTTTAAACCACAGACACTAAATATGAATAAAGCCTATTCCTCTATAGCAGTGATGGCGAACCCGTGGCACACGTGCCACAGCCGGCACGCCGAGCCTTATCTGTGGGCACGCCAGGAGAATACCGTATTTTTCGCTCCATAAGACGCACTTTTTTCCCCCAAAAAAGGGGGGAAAATGTCAGTGCATCTTATGGAGCGAATATAGAGCGGCCGGTCCGGTATTTCCACCGCCGCCGTGTCAGAATACCGGGCCGGCCGCTCAGCTCTGCAGTGGGACCGTACCTGTCCCTCTATCCAGCGGCGCGCTGTCTTCCCGGCTTCTGTAGTGTGCGTGACAGCCGGGTCCCAAGTGCGCATGCGCAAGAAGCAGTGCTCTTTGTGAATGGTAAGGCGGTACCTGGGACACATGACAGATCCCAGAAGCCGCCGGACCAATCACAAAGCGCAGCGCTTCTCGCGCATGCGCACTGGGCATCCGGCTGTCCGACGAGCGCCCACACTACAGAAGCCGGGAAGACAGCGCACGGCTGGATAAAGGAACAGGTAAGATAAAAAAAAAAACTCTGCGGAAGTAAGAGCGGGTACCTGTCAAATTCAGGTACCCGCTCCCCCTCCCTCTGTACTGTCCGCAGTCTCTGGTCATCCCTGTGCTTTCCGCAGTCTCTGGTCATCTCCAGTACTGTCCGCAGTCTCTGGTCATCCCTGCACTGTGTCCGCAGTCTCTGGTCATCCCTGCACTGTGTCCGCAGTCTCTGGTCATCCCTGCACTGTGTCCGCAGTCTCTGGTCATCCCTGCACTGTGTCCGCAGTCTCTGGTCATCCCTGCACTGTGTCCGCAGTCTCTGGTCATCCCTGTACTGTGTCCGCAGTCTCTGGTCATCCCTGTACTGTGTCCGCAGTCTCTGGTCATCCCTGTACTGTGTCCGCAGTCTCTGGTCATCCCTGTACTGTGTCCGCAGTCTCTGGTCATCCCTGTACTGTGTCCGCAGTCTCTGGTCATCCCTGTACTGTGTCCGCAGTCTCTGGTCATCCCTGTACTGTGTCCGCAGTCTCTGGTCATCCCTGTACTGTGTCCGCAGTCTCTGGTCATCCCTGTACTGTGTCCGCAGTCTCTGGTCATCCCTGTACTGTGTCCGCAGTCTCTGGTCATCCCTGTACTGTGTCCGCAGTCTCTGGTCATCCCTGTACTGTTAATTAGTTTGCACTACTGTACGAGTTTTTTTTTCTAAACCAAAAGCTCGATATTCAGGTTTCATTGCAGTGTTGGCACTTTGAAAGAAATAAGTTGGTTTTGGGTTGCAGTTTGGGCACTTGGGCTCAAAAAGGTTCGCCATCACTGCTCTATAGTGTGTACTTGTCTAAATTACCAGCACTGAGTGTCATTTCTGTCTGCTGTTTCGTTCCTCTGCTATCAGCCTGAATCCCTTCTGACAACTTTTCCTGATACCAAGAGAAAAAAGGTGAGAGGGAGGGACCTCCGGCAGATTGACAGCCTCAGCTCTGTTTCTATGTGCTGTGTGGAGGGGGGTGTGTCTCTTCCCTCCAATCAGCTCTCAAAGTTTTCCTCACTCCAAATGTATGGTTCTGATGGCCTCCTCACTGTTGCTATGTGACATTATGTCTGTAACCATGCAGATTTCACCATCGATGTGCTCCCTCTTTTTCCTGTGTTCTTTTTTTTAATTTACTGCTTGTGTGTGTGTGTGTGTGTATATGTATGTATGTATGTATGTATGTATGTATATGTATACATGTATGTATGTATGTATGTATATGTATTCCCTTGGCATCAGAGACACCGCTCTCTCCTGGTTCTCGTCCTATCTATCCCAACGCTCCTTCAGTGTCACCTACAATGGTGCCACCTCCCCTTCTCTCCCCCTCTCTGTTGGGGTCCCCCAGGGCTCTGTCCTTGGACCCCTTCTCTTCTCTCCATCTACACCTCCTCCCTTGGCAAACTCATACACTCCCACGGCTTCAATTACCACCTCTATGCTGATGATACTCAAATCTACCTATCCACCCCTCACCTCACCCCCTCATTCTCCGCCCGCATCACTCACCTCCTAAACGACATCTCTGACTGGATGTCGCTCAATTTCCTCAAACTCAACCTCTCCAAAACCGAGCTTCTCATCTTCCCCCCAGCCCGCGCCCCCCCCCCCATCCTTTCCATCACTACCAACAACACCACCATCAATCCCGCCCAGCAAGCCAAGGTCCTTGGCGTCACTCTGGACTCAAACCTTTCCTTTCAACCTCATATCAAATCCCTCACAAACACATGCAGGCTCCACCTCCGGAACATCGCCAGGATACGCTCCTTCCTTACCACAGACACCACTAAACTACTAGTACACTCCCTGATTATCTCACGCCTGGACTACTGCAACTCCCTCCTCACCGGCCTACCCCAGTGCAGGCTCTCCCCGCTTCAGACCATCCTGAACTCAGCGGCCAGACTCATCCACCTCACCAGCCGCTCTCCACCTCTGCCACCCCCCCTCTGCCTCTCCCTCCACTGGCTCCCCATTGCCCAACGCATTAAATTCAAATTGCTCACCCTGACCTATAAGGCCATCCACAACACTGCCCCTAACTACCTCACCGATCTGATTCCCAAGTACCACCCTACCCGTACCCTTCGCTCTTCACAGGACCTTCTTCTATCTTGCTCCCTGGTCTCCTCCTCCCACGCACGACTGCAAGACTTCTCCAGGTCCTCCCCCATCCTCTGGAACTCACTACCCCAATCCATCAGACTGTCACCGTCCCTCCTCACCTTCAGGCGCTCCCTGAAAACCCACCTCTTCAGGGAAGCCTACCCCACCCTCACCTAACAGCCACTGCCCTTCCCTCCTCCTACCACTCCATCCCCCACAGCCGTTTCCTCCTGTGCCTCTACCCCCCCCCTCCTAGATTGTAAGCTCGAAAGAGTAGGGCCCTCTAACCCCTTGTGTACTGTTTGATGTTACTGTTCTGTTTCATGTATTGTCCCCCCTCTATTGTACAGCGCTGAGCAAACCCTTTGGCGCTATATAAACTCGATAAATAAATAAATAAATAAATAAATATATATATATATATATATATATATATATATATATATATATGTGTGTATGTGTGTATATATGTATGTGTGTGTATATATATATATATGTATGTGTGTATATAATGTGTGACAACTGCTAAAAATTGTTAATACGAAAAAAAAAAAAAAGTTTTCCTCACTGAGCTCTGCAGTGTTACCTCAGCTCTGACCCTCTTATCTTTTTCTGACAGCTCAGACATGCTTTATAAATTTGGCACTTTGAGCAGTTGTAGAGAAGACTGCAGATAAACGGGTACAAATTGTGCTCGGAGGTTTGTTTAATCTCTGTATCACCTGAGGCTAGTCTCTTCAATGGGCATATGTAAGGGTTTACATCCACTTTAAGTCTGCTCAGTTCACTTTTTTCCTATTAAGATGTTTCTTGTCAGCACACGTGCTGTAGCATTCCTGATTGGTGGTAGTTCTGCTCCCTTTTCTTCCAGCCTTTGCTCTGCTGTACAGGGGTTGATATCCAGTCAAACTGACCAATTTCATTAGTTGTATTTAGACCCTCAGCCAAGCTAGCGACCCCTAAACTATTGAAGGTTCATACCTGCTTTAAACCTAAATACATTTATGCTAAAAGGTATTTTCTTGCTTCGTGGAGACAATAACACCATGAATCATTTAAATGGGAGTATATTTGGAATGTGATCTACAAACCTAGATTTGAAAAGCTTGCTTTCCAAATTTGCTAAAAAAGGAATGTTCTCAATTACTGCTTCTATATAGTTTTTTTAATGGTATATAAGAGCATGTGCTGTTCTCTTTGAAACATCCCACAAAACTTGGTTACATCAGTTTGATACATTTTACTGGAGCCTTTTGTTTTTTTTTGCAGAAATTATGGATCAGACCCCATTCACACTCCGATGCAGAATCTAAGCATATTCTAAGCTTTGGGAAAAATTAAAGATAGAAGCTGATTGGTTGCTATGGGCAACAGCACCGGTTGAGAGAGAACATGGTTCACGCATTCCTAACCCTTTAGAGTTTTCCTCTCCCTGGGAATTGTTTGATGTCCTTCATATGAGTGTGAAAAGTGTTATAATCAGGAATATTTCTTACCACACAGTGCTAGCCTAGATCAATCTGTGTTGGGAATTTTTCATTTTATAAATTATAACACATAGTCCTGGGAGTTTTTTTTTAATAAAATGCTCAAATGGATTTCTTAAGCAGCTTGATGGAACTGCACAGAACGACATATATGTTATAAGCCCCGCTTTAATATGCTGACATTAAGATTCATCTACCTAGCGCAAAGAAAAGGTGTATGTTATGGATCGCTATTAAAGATAAATTCTAGGCATGTAGAAGAGACTCACATTAAGGGCGCTTTCACACTGCACATGTTGGGTTTTCCCACAGCAAAGACGCAGTGAAGTCGACCTGCGCTTTCCCAGAGACTTCTATTACATTGGCTGTTTTTTGGTGTGTTTTCTGAAAATGCACCAAAGATGCAGCATGCGGGACTTTCAGTGTATTTTCAGAAAATGTGCCAAAAATTCCTGATCTAATAGAAATTTATGCAAAAGCATGAGTACACTGCGCTGTACCCGCAGTGTGGGGAAGCTACATCGAAGCAGTGTGAAAGTGCCCTATTGCAGCTTTCTACTTGCTAATTCATCATTAAAGTGACAGTGGGATGGAAAGGGGGGAGGGGGCTATATTCCTACATATAGTGGGGCCGTGAACGCAGCCACCCTCTAACCGGAAGTCAGACCCCAGCAGCCAAAAAAAGAAAGGGAATTCAGATATTTGGAAGAAGAATGCATACTTGGAATAGATTTTTATTTTTTTTATTTAGAGTTTAGTGGTTTTTTTTTTTTTTTTTTTTTTTATATGATTTTTAATTGCATGCTGTGAAAGTAACTGAATTTGACACGGTATCAGCATATTGCAGTCCCTGTACAGTAGAGCTGGAGTATGAGGAAGAAGCAGCACAAGCAGACAGTCAATTTCATGTGCTAGCAAGGAACATGCTGATAGGAGCAGATTGATAGAGATGAGCTACTTATGTTTTCACTGAGCAGTAAGCAGAGGAGCGGGTCCAGGATGACCTGGACTCAGAGCCTGGCCCTTATAAAGGGCATATGAAGGCAGAAAAATGCACTGCTTGGGAAATCTCTGGATTGAAGATGAATATTGGCAAAAATGTTTTTTGTGTTTTTTTTTTTTTTTTTTTTTTTTTCTTCTTTATTGGCCCATTTTATATTTGCCTTATTTTTGGCAGGATTTCTGCTTTAGGTATAATATTTAAAGCGGAGCTCCAGGCAAACATCTTCAATTGGATGCCATGTTGGGCTACTTATGAAGTGGACAAATAACACTGCTGCTAATTGTGAAGCAGGCAGTGGATTAGACCTCATTCACATTGACAAGGACATACGTGTGTTTGTTTATAGGACATTTCTACCCATGTTTTAGTTGCATTCAGTCACTTGCATTTAAAATTAAAATTCTTTTGGAATTTGACCCATGTATGGCCTGCATTAGAGTTGTCAGCCTACCGGAAGAAGTGTCCTTACTGGCAGGATCTTCAGGGAAGAAACAGATTCACAACTATATATACATTGAGAGATGATGCTAAACCTTCTGAAAAATAGATTTCCGGTTTACTTCCACTGATGTAAGCTGGGATTAATATACTTCATATACTCATGATTGACCAAGTAATGTCTGTAATTTTTATATTTTTTTGTTCTTGAATTGCTTTTTCGCGTTCTGTTATTCTTTAGGGAGTAATTGGTGGAGGAGGGAAGGCCCTTCACCATAGTCCTGTGTAATGTGATCTCCAGGAACATTAAATGGCGGGTTTGACCTGTGCTGGCAGGAGACTCGTATATGTGGGCAAATGCTTCAAGTTACAGTATCACTGTGTCATAGACTTTCACTTTTGACCTCTGGAAAATTACACGAGCATAGATGTGTGTTAATGTGTTTTTTAATGTAATGTTTATCCCCAAGTTTATTAGAGACCATGGAAATACACGTGTGCTTGTATTTCCTGAGCCTGTTCTTCTCACTGTTGCTGGCAGCAGGTAATGAGTCATATCATCTCAAATCTCTTAGATTGTAAGTTCTCAGGATCAGGGCCCTCCTGTCCCTCTTGTATTGAACTGTATTGTTGCTGTATTGTCTCCCGTTATATTGTAAAGTGCTGAGCAAACTGTTGGCGCTATATAAATCCGGTATAATAATATCTACAATCTTGGAACTTCCTACACTAAGGCCAGCCATAGACGAGCAGATAAGGAAACTAAATTCCTGTCAATCAACAAATCATTTGTTTTGCGCTTCATTAGTGTGCCAATTGTGACACGCGATTTTTGTGCCACAATTAAAAGTGTCTGATCCAACATGCTGGTTTTTGTGTTTTTGTTATATTTGTTGGCACAATCGTATCAGTTATTTAAGCGTTTTCGATCGACCGAACATTTCATTTTTCAAATCGTCTATGAGCTGCCTAAAGAAACTAATTGTTTCTAATTGTGGTCTTGGATATTGCTTTTTCTAGTAGTGGTGGTCTCTGCTATCCCAAAGGAAAAAGGGGGGAAAAAAAAGTATCTATACATATTTAAAATGTGTATTTAGCTGAAGCGGCTATAGAAAGGCCATTAATTGTTGTACATAACATGCACGTGGTCTGGATGTGTATTGTTTCACCCTGCACACATTGGTTTTCCGGTGAGGAAACAATAGCGCGATGAGCAGGAAATCATTGAAAAGTATGTGGTTCCTATGTTTGAACCGCAGTGTTTCTCTGTGTGTGTAGATAAGAGTAAAGTAGTTTAGTTGGGAACTTTCCAGATTTTATTAAACTGAGTCATAAGTACAGTTTCTGATGCTGCACATTTGAATCTCTTGAATATTCAGTAAAATGAGTTTGTGGTTTTTGAGTATGTACCAAAATGTATACTATTGTAAGACTGAAAAGTACTAGTTGATTCTATTTTTCTTGATCTAAGTTTTAAGCCGGCCAGACAGACTGAAATTCAGCTGCTTCAGCAGGAACTGGACAAGTTACAATGCATCTGTGGACAGGCTGGTTGTCCAGGAGTTGAACTATTAGGTTTTTTTTTTTCTCCGATCACTGCCAGTGGCTATAGCCTCCAGCCGTGATCATTGTATTCTGATAGCTGGGAAACCTCCCGTTGTCAGAATTCAGTAGTGCAGTGGGAGGGATTCCCCCATCAACCCTGATTGTTGATGGGGGATGAAGGGCTAAGGGCCCATTTTACACCTCATTGTCCTGGTGTGTTGTGTTAATGCGTACCTGTTAAGATGTTTTCTTCTTCTGGGCTGGCAACACACTAAAATGTCAAATTAAAAAAAAAAAGGCAGAGCATCAAAACGTTACTTCAATGCATGTGTTATAGCCGCGTTGCTTCACTTTTGGTGCCTATAATAGCGAACAGCACCACAACGTGATATTGCATGTAACGTTGCAGCAACACACTGCAGACCAAAATGTTTTTGACTTGCCATTTGCTTTAAATCTCTGCATTGCATTACAGCAGCCCATTCAGAATGACTCTGCTGCCAACGCACCCTAAAGCTTGTAGCTTGAAGCTCCTAAGACGCTCAAACTAATAAAATCGATTGATCTCTATGGTGCCTGTTAGTGCCTCAGGTGTGAACAGGCACCATAGAGAACAATTGATTTTTTAAGTTAGAGCGATTTTGGATTTTCTCTCTGTACCTGCTGTCACAACTTGAAAAGAACACTCCACCCACACTGCCAACTCATTCATCTGTGAGACCTGTGAATGAATGAACTAAAAGGACCAACAGCCTTTGCGGCTGATTGCCTATTGTTCTCAACTAACTAGCAGGGCGCTATTGAGCATTCTAGGTATTTGAGTCTTCCTGTCATTGTGTAACTGCTTACCCAACAAGGTAGAAGCAGACAGGTACACTGACAGTTTGCAGGAGCCTGAGATTGCACCCGCGAAAAAACAAATTCACTTTTTTTTTTTTTTTTTTTTTTTTTTTTACACCAGCAAACTTTTACCTTAAAAAGGGGCATGATCCTTTAATGCCATGTGTGGCAACAAACTACCTTACATTGAGACCTGCTACAATGCAAATGTTGCTTTAGGGCCTGGATTTACACTACGCCTACTGCATTTAGCTCATGTTGATGTGCAAGAAATGCACTTGACTGGACATCCTATAGGGATTTTTTTTTTTTCTATTATAATACAGGATTTATATAGTGCCAACAGTTTGTGCAGGGCTTTACAATGTAAGGGAGACAGTACAATTACAATACATTTCAGTACAGAAGGAATAGGAGGGCCCTGCTCATGCAGCTTACAACACTGTTCAACAGGTAAAAAGTTTTGCGCATAAAATTAGCTAGTCTTACATAATTTTGGGGTGCTGAAAACGAAAATGACCCTAAAAAATGTTGATTGGCTCTAGTTTCCATGATATATTCACCCATCTAATGACGTAAGCCATTCAAAATTATGATGCAACTTCAGCTGCATATTGCGCAATTGATACTGGTGACCAATAGAAAATTGCATGTATACTGAGATGATGCAATATTAGCCTTTAATTGCATCACTTCACTGCATAAAAGCTGCAGTATCTGTAGCTGATTGTAGTTCGACAGCGTCTTTACATTTCGTTTTATGCTTATATAGGCTACTCAGTAATGCCTCGAACTTGTGTGAATAAAGCAGATAATTTCTGTTATATATCTGCGGTGAAATAACTTTTATCTCACAAAAAAGGAGGATAACAGGAATGATTAAGAAAGCCTACAACTTGTATTTTGGCTGCAAGATAGGAGACCAGGACAAGAGCTGGGCACCACATATATGCTGCAATTCTTGTGGGACGGCACTGGAGCAATGGTTGAATGGAAAAAAGGCATCTATGCCTTTCGCTGTGCCAATGATTTGGAGAGAGCCAACAGATCATGTTAGTAATTGTTACTTTTGTATGGTGCCTCCAATTGTAAAAGGGCTAAATAAGAAGAAAAAGTTATCTGTGCACTATCCAAATATTCCATCGGCAATACGTCCAGTTCCTCATGGAGAGGGGCTACCAATTCCTAAAGCACCAGAATCCTTCGTGGTTGAGTCAAGTGAGGAAGAACCTGAAGCGTGTAGTCACGTGCAGTTGTAAGAGATAGCCCTTTCCTCGAATACAAGAGAAAAGCCAAGAGAAGCAAAACCGACACAAACTGAAGACAAAACTAGTGAGAATCCTAAGTATTAAAATGATTCAACTTAGCTTATGGCTATAATTTTTCTTGGTAATCCTATGCAATATATTATGCCATTTAGGCTTTGTTATGTAGTCAATATCACTTGCTTTATATTTGTGGAAAGACATCTATCTATATAATTATTGTGCATTATGTAGTCATTACGCCTATAGTAGAAAACTTTCCGTTTACAGAAAAACTAGAGCCAATTGACAAATTTCATTGTTATATTTGAACTCAGAATGTGAAATTCATTAAGAAATGGATCCTTTTGTTTCCAAAACTGGCAAAAAATAAAAATTGCAGATTGCAATCTAAACAATCTAAATCTTTTATTAGTATGCATGTGTTTTGTTCACAGCAGGAGCCAACAAGTATTATTTTTCTTCAGCTGGTGATGCAAAGTGTTGTAATGTGCTGCACTTAAATGCAGTATATTCAATTTTCACTAAGCACACACCAGTGTAATTACCGTAATTGGTGTTAGCTGGGCCTGTTGGAATGAATGGATTTCAGCCTATCTTGAACACAGTTGAACCAACATGGTGCAAATGGGCCCTATTTGCAGTGGGGGTGCTATTCAAAATGAATGCATTTGTTATTCTCAGA